AGAACGGAATTCAGACGTTTAAGGTAATAAATGTCTTTTATTTTTTGTTATGCTAGATTGTCTACTGTACTCATCTTAACTACTGAAAATGGATTTGAATCAATTGGGAAATGCAGAATCTCAGAAGTATTCTGTCATTTACTACCTTGCGCAAAATGAAGCAGTTGATGTGGTTTAGTTCAGTTTAGTTATTTAGAAAACATCCAACGCAAATGTAAAATTTCGGTACAGACTGGAACAAAAGAATAACAAAGAAACTATTATGCAATAGTAGCTGAGCTTGTCTTCATGAACACACACATACATACTCTCTCTTCAAAAATAATCACTACGTTCTACGTTCAGTCTCCCTCCACTTTCTACATTTCAACGCCCAATCCTGTCAATAATGCAGTAAGAAGACCAATCAACGCTAACAGGTCGATAAAATCCAATGATCCATTATGATTCGTGTCCACCACGTTAAATAGAGCCGTTGCCATGTACGAGCTGATGAAACCGAGACCAATACTTTTCAGAAACAATTCTATATCGACTTTTGTTATTTTTCCATCACCATTTTTGTCAAAACTTTTGAAGAGCGTGTAAAACTGTTTGTTCAACAGGCCTTCGCTTCCTCCACCTTCACCTTTAAACATCTTATATACCTGACGCGCGCTGCTAATGTAACCTAGCTTAGGTTGGAGCGGTTCAGTACCAGCTTTCAGACCGCTACCTCGATGAGCAATTTGCTGAAACAGAACCTCAAGGTCACCAGGTGGCAAATTTGGTGAGTCTGCCAGCATCGCATCTCGACCTCCTTGACTTTGAAATCCGCTGCCGGAATAGGCAATCCTCTGAAACAGTGCTCTGCAGTCCGCATGATCCTCTACTGACGATTTACCGAGCAGCGGTTCGTCCATATCAGACACCATTGAATGATCTCGATGACCTCCCACAGCTGCCACTCTATAAAGGAGCGTTTGTTGACCATTGCTTGGATCCATATGGAATGGTAAAGGCTTCGGCGGTACTTGTGCCGTGCTTTCAGGTTTTAGAAAGAGAGCGTTCATTGAATAAGATGAATTAATGGGAGTCGATTGAACCGAGAGCATTGTTTGAGGAGGAACAGCTGGTTCCTGTTCTGCTACACGAAATCCATCACCAAACCCGACTAATTTTCGAAATAATTGTTCATAACTCACGTTCTCCGGCGTCTGATTTGCTGTTTGCACGATGACATGCTCGAACTGTTCATTATCACCTTCTTCTTCATACGCTCTTCGAAATTCGTCGACAAATGTCTTAATATCTGGTATACCGGCACTGCGTAGAAGATAGTTCATAACACTCTTCTGAGATTCTGCATTTCCCAATTGATTCAAATCCATTTTCAGTAGTTAAGATGAGTACAGTAGACAATCTAGCATAACAAAAAATAAAAGACATTTATTACCTTAAACGTCTGAATTCCGTTCT